GCGCCGACGACGTTTTGACGTTCCCTCGACCGATTTAATTCCAGCGGACTGGAGCGGCTCGTAAGAATTTCCTCCGGCGTCGATAAACGCTTCAACGAGCCGCGTAAAAATACCCCGAGTCTCGTCCACGGTACTCGACGTTCGCGCCTTCTTAACGTCGAGTTACCGCCGCTTTAACAGAGTCTTTAACGCTTCAAATAGATCTCGCCCGCCCTCCGACAGGCGTCCTCCTCCGCGCGCGGTGACGTTTTTAAAGCCACCGCTCGCGGAACTCTCCTCTTCTTCCCCTTCTCCCCCCCCCCCGCAGTCTGTCGCGTTTCTCTCGGAGACGGACGTAATTAACGTGAAACTGCCGCGTCCGCGTTCGCGTTTGTTTAATCCCCATGACTTTCGTGACGAGAGTCGCTCTCCGCACAGCACATCGAGTTTACTAACAATTTATCCGAATTTGTAAAACTCTTTTTCATTATCCGTTGCCGTTACATTAAGTATCACGCTGCATACAACTATAGATAGTTTTCTAGAGACACACACACACACACACACACACACACACACACACACATCTCTACTTTGCGAGTAACTTGATACAATTTAATTATTGTTATTGAACGGAGTTAGGAAAGGAGTAATTAATTACATTATGTCCCTCTTGTTTCAAGTTTTTTTTCTGCAACGTTGTTGTTTTTTTGCAACTTTGTAGATTTGTTGACGAAAAGAACAGTCGGAATGATTAAATTTTAATTGAAGATCTTTTCTGTTCGCACGTTATAAAAGTCATCGTGAAGGGTAATTTGTCGAGAGAGGAAGGGACCAGTAATGCCGTTGTCGTACATGAGGTTCAAGGTAGAGAGGACGAAGAAAGAATCAAGATTCTTGCCTGCTTTCGTGATGGTGTGATTCCGGTAAAGAGAAAAAGATACATAGTGCGACATGAGAGAGAAAGAGAGGAGGGAGGATGGAAGGTTGAGGAAGAGAGAAACTGCGATGTAAGGAAAGAGTCGTCTCTGAAGAAAAGAAGAGTCAATCTTTCCTGTCGCCATCTTTTCAGCATAAACTGTCCACGTAATTGATGGCTGCAAGTCCTTTGTAATAAATTTACGGAAATTACGTTCGTCTTTTAAAAAAAACGCAAGAGAAAATATGATTCGTGTTAACGTTGTTCAGCGGAACATTGGTTTCAGAGATACGACAAATCGCCAATAAATTTTATTTCAAATGGAGGAGAAAATAGAATTTTCTTTATCGTAACGTAATAAATTCGTTAATGTATTAGACACAAAGGCGTAATTGATATTATATATCAATTATTTTCTCGCTACGAGGCTGATGATTTACCCTAAGTATTATACAGTTTCGTTCGGACAGCTGTAATCCTATTTATACAGGCTGAATGTAATGAATACACGTACAAGATCTTGGAGGATTTCGGCTTCTTCGGATTCTTTCACCTCTCTTTACTCGATGTGTGAATGTGTATTTACACATAAAGTACACGGTTGTATATATATATATATATATATATATATATATATAGTAAGAA